CGCTCGCCTTCCTCGGCCCCACGAGTCCCGCGTCGCCCTTCGTCGCCCTTCGCTGCCGGGCAGGGATGGAAGGAGCGGGGTCCGTCCTCCCCCAGCCCACCCGCCCCAGGACCCTGCTCCCCAGGACTTGCCCCAGATTCCTCTGCTCTACGACCTCGGAAAGAGGAGGGACCCTGGGGTGGCCGAGCCAGGCGGGCTGCGGCGCTGAGCTGGGGCAGGATGCGGGTGCGGGGAGATGCTTCTCCCTGGCTCCTGGGAAGAATTCGGGTCTGGCAATAATTCCGCGCTGTGGGGACCCCACCGCCGGCGACGCTGTCCGGACGCCCGGGAACCTCTGCCAGACCCCTACCCTCCTCCCTGTGGCCTCTGTCCTACCCGCCCCCACTGCAGTGACCTCCCCGGGGGGAGGGGTCCCCTCTACCACCGCGACTGCGGCCCGCTCCTCCCCACCCCCACCCACTGCAACAACCTCTCAGCCTCCCGCCCCTCCCTCTGAGCACAGGCTCCACCCGCTAAGCCTCTCATCTTTTGCCTTTCTTCTCTTCCACCCCAGGAGCTCCCAACCGTCATGTCCATAGAGAGGATCTGGGCCCGGGAGATCCTGGACTCCCGTGGGAACCCCACCGTGGAAGTGGATCTCCACACTGCCAAAGGTAGGGGCGGGGCTCCCGCTTCGGCCTCAGCAGCTGTAGCTGGCCGGTGGGGAGGCCTTCCCTGACCGCCAAGGGGCCAGGGCTGGACTGTGCGGGGCTTCTGTGTTCTGGTTTAATGGGAGACTGTCCTGCCTCTTGTGCTTGAACACACGTGTGTGTGTGCACGCCTGAGCTGCCTGGCGTAGCTTCACTTCTGTGGGCTCCCACTTGTGCCTGTGGGGTCTCAGCTGGGTGGGTGAAGAGGCCACTGCTTGTGCGCTGGCTCAGGTGTGTGTGTGTTTGTGTGTGTGTGTGGTGCTTTGTGGAGGGAGGGCTGGAGAGCCCACAGAATCCCTGGTCCTACAGTTAGGCCCCTGTCCTCACTGTGATGTCTCCCAGGTCTTTTCCGGGCTGCAGTCCCCAGTGGAGCTTCCACTGGCATCTATGAGGCCCTGGAGCTGAGGGATGGGGACAAGCAACGTTACTTAGGCAAAGGTGAAGCCCCCTCTCCTCCAGCCCATGCCCTTCCCTCCTGCAGTCCTGCCCGCCCCTCCTCACTGTCCCCTGCATGACCCTGACCAGCCAGCCTCCCTCTCTCCCCAGGTGTCCTGAAGGCAGTGGACCACATCAACACCACCATCGCACCCGCCCTCCTGAGCTCAGTGAGGCCCAGCCCTGGTGGGGGTGGTGCACAGGACCTGGGTCCTGGGGAGCCCTGACGTGGGGAGAGACTCCTTACACCCGTGCACCCATGGGTCCCCCACCACAGTCAAGTTACTAGCCTGGGTGCAGGATGCCCTCTGTGCTGTAGGGCCCACCCACTTCTGGACCTGTGTGACGGGTTCTGTCCGCAGGGTCTGTCGGTGGTGGAACAAGAGAAGCTGGACAACCTCATGCTGGGGCTGGATGGGACTGAGAATAAATGTAAGCAGGAGTCAGGAGAAGCGAGGGTGAACTGGGGGGGCCACCTTGTGTCAGGGCCTTCCTCAGAGGTGACTGTCACCCTCCTGAGGCCGCTGCAGTGGGAGGCAGTGACATTAGACAGAAGGAAGAACTGCTCTGTACCATAAAGAGGTGGAAGTTGGCAGGAGGCAGTCTGGGGGCTGCTTAGAAGGAGTGGCTTCCTGCCCTTTCCAGCCACCCCCTCCCTTCGTCCTCCCTGCACCCAGAAAGGAGAGGTGGGATGGCTGGAGTGGGGAGGGGCGTCTCCCTTACTGGTCCATTGTGGGGAATACCAGTGGAGGCAGTGATCAGAAAGGGGGCATTTTGGCTCATTCCTTTTTCTGTAATCTCCCAGCCAAGTTTGGGGCCAATGCTATCCTGGGTGTGTCCCTGGCTGTGTGTAAGGCAGGGGCAGCGGAGCGGGAGCTGCCTCTCTACCGCCACATTGCTCAGCTGGCTGGGAATTCAGACCTCATCCTGCCCGTGCCGGTGAGCTGTGCCTGCCTGGGTGCCCGGGCTGGTGGGTGAGCCCTTGTGAGGAAGGACGGGAAGTAACAGGGCAGCCTCTGGCTGGGCCTCTGGACCCAGGTTAGAGTCTTGGGTTAACCCTCTGGGGTCCACCTTTGGCTCCCCAGGCCTTCAACGTGATCAATGGTGGCTCCCATGCTGGAAACAAGCTGGCCATGCAAGAGTTCATGATCCTCCCCGTGGGGGCTGAGAGCTTCCGGGACGCCATGCGGCTTGGGGCGGAGGTCTACCACACACTTAAGGGAGTCATCAAGGACAAGTACGGCAAGGATGCCACCAATGTGGGAGATGAAGGCGGCTTTGCTCCCAACATCCTGGAGAACAGTGAAGGTGAGGCCAGCTTGGGAGCCCACTGCCTTCTGAGGATGACAGGAAGCACACTGCTGAGTCTCCAGGAGTGTGGTGGGCCATCCTCCTCCTCCTGGACACCCCAGGAGGTGCCAGCCCAGGAGGTGGCTTGGGGCCTGTCGAGTGCATGGGCTCACCTAGGAGGACAGTTTTTCACCTGTCCAGCCTGGCCTGATAGTATCTGTTAATTCTTAGTTAAGAGTTAAGATTCTCGCCGTGCGTGGTGGCGGACGTCTGTAATCCCAGCACTCGGGAGGCTGAATGAGGAGGATTATTGTGAGTTCAAAACCAGCCTGGGCTACACAGTGAGTTCAGGGTAGTCTGAACTACACAGTAAGACCCTGTCTCAAAAAAAAAAAAAAAAAAAAAAATTAAAAAAAAAAAAAAAAAAAAAAAAAAAAAGTTAAGTTTCTCAGCCAAGGATGCTGGCACATGCCTGTAACCCCAGTTGCGCAGGCAGCTAGAACAGGATTACAAGTTCAAGGCCAGCCTAGGCAGTTTGGTAGCTCATTGGTAGAGCACTTGTCCAGCATATCTGCAGCTTTGGATTTGATCCCTAGACAACAAAACAAACAAAGAAAGGCTCTGGGGTCACACTTCTCCATGCTTCCTTGTTCTTATCTGTAAAATGGGAATACAACCGTTTCTGCCTTATAGTACCAGTGTGAGGGTGAAGGAGACCACATAAGTAAAGTGCTGGGGAGACATGATAACAATAAAATTGCTGACTGTTAGTAATAGCTCCACTCCTCCTCTTAATACTAGGCACCATCCCTACAACCCAGGGAGCTGTGCCTGCCTGGATCCCGGGGCACATGCTGCAGACTTTCTTTCCTCTTCCTCTTCCTTCTCTACCCTCTCCTCTTCCTTGCAATCTCACGTTCTTCCATCTCTAGCCTTGGAGCTGGTGAAGGAAGCCATCGACAAGGCTGGCTACATGGAAAAGATTGTCATTGGCATGGATGTTGCTGCCTCAGAGTTTTACCGTGATGGCAAATACGACTTGGACTTCAAGTCCCCCGCAGATCCTTCCCGATACATCACTGGGGACCAGCTGGGTGCGCTCTACCAGGACTTTGTCAGGGACTATCCTGGTGAGAACTGGGATGTGGGATGACTGTAATCCCAGCACTTGGGAGGCTGAGGCAGGAGGATCACCATGAATTCAAGGCCAGCCTGGGCTACATAGTGAGTTGAAGGCCAGCCTGAATTACACAGGGAGACTATGTTTAAAAACAACCAAAAAAAAAAAAAAAAAAAAAAAAAAAAAAAAAAAAAAAAAAAAAAAAAAAAAAAAAAAACAGATGTGGGAGAGAGGGCAGGGGTTCAGGCAGACCTGTTGGGGCAGCTCTGGACTTCTGGGTGGTGGAGATGTGCTAAGAGGACTGAGAACTGAGAACTAGCACCAGGGTAAAGGAGCCTGCTACAGACAGGGCTTTGCATGCTGTGTAAATGTGCCAAGCCCTCTGATGCTTCAGTTTCCATCTGCTTCCAGTGCTGATGAGAAGCCACTGGGATCCTGGGGATGGGGTAGGAACCAGGATGGGAAGACAGGCTGGCCTGGCCTAGCAGCAGACTAGTACATTTCCATATCTTTGATTGAAATCGTGGCTGCAGAATAGAGCTGAGTGATGTGGGGCTGGAGAGTCCTGGCTGAGGAGAGACTAAACTACCAGGGATGGAGTCACCCAGGGTCTGTCTTTCCCAGACAGAGCAAGAAGAAACAGGCTAACAGTGAGGAAGGGATTCCTGACAGTGAAAATAGGAAAATGCAAAGTGAAGTTGTGAGGAAGGTTCTGAACTCTTGTTATCGGAAGGTTTATGAAATAAGAATCAGGAGTGGGGTGGGGGCATGATCCAGGGATTCCAGCACTCTGGGAAGCTGATACAGGGGGACTGTAATTTTGAGTGCAGCCTGGGGCATTTCAGTCACTTAGTGAGACCCTTAAAAAATCAAAGAAATAAATAGACAGACAGGCAGGCAGATAGATAAATAGATAAGCCGGGCATGGTGGTGCACATCTGTAATCCCAGCACTTAGGAGAATGAGGCAGGAGGATCACCATGAGTTTGAGGCCAATCTGGGCTACACAGTGAATTCAAGTCTAGCTTGAACTACATAGCAAGACCTTGTTTAACGTAAGAAGCAGCTGGGGCAGGCTTACTTTATTTTGGGTACAGTGGGTAGACAAGGACAAGCAGGATTTGTTAGTCAGGGGACCTGAACATTTCAGAAAATGAAAGGGGGGGTGTCCCCACCCCAGCAGAGATCCAGGCAGGGTGACCACCCCCTCGCACTTGCTCTGCAGTGGTCTCCATTGAGGACCCGTTTGACCAGGACGACTGGGCAGCCTGGTCCAAGTTCACGGCCAACGTTGGGATCCAGATTGTGGGCGATGACCTGACAGTGACCAACCCCAAGCGCATCGAGCGGGCAGTGGAGGAAAAGGCTTGCAACTGCCTGCTGCTCAAGGTCAACCAGATCGGCTCGGTCACTGAGGCCATCCAGGCGTGAGTGGCCCCCACCCCATGGCCTTAGGCATCCCCTGCATGAGGCTGCCACAGGGAGGGAGAAGGAACCTGAGCCTCTGTCCTCTCAGCTCTGCTCTCTGTGCCCCCTGGCTTTCTGGCCCCTCCCCAGACCAAGGGTGGGTGGGGCTGGACACACAGGTGTGTGGGGTGGGCTCAGGGCAGATGTCTGGGCACAGGTGCAAGCTGGCACAGGAGAATGGTTGGGGCGTCATGGTGAGCCACCGCTCGGGAGAGACCGAGGACACCTTCATCGCGGACCTGGTGGTGGGGCTGTGCACTGGCCAGGTGAGGGGCAGCCTGTGGGGTGTCTTGGTGGCATCAGTGGGTTCTAGGCCTAGGTGGGTCTCTGTCAGGTGTTGCAGGGCATCTGGGAAGTTTCAGCAGTAGATTTCAGTGCTGGGGTATAGCTCAGTGGACAGTCCTAGGTCCTATCACCAGTACTAGAAAGAAAATCAAGAGAGCAGGTAAAGTAGACAGTGGCTGAGTTGCCTGTCTTCCGGGAATGTTTCAGATCAAGACTGGTGCCCCCTGCCGTTCTGAGCGTCTGGCTAAGTACAACCAGCTCATGAGGTGAGGATATTGGGGAATGGGAGCCCAAAGCCACATGGTTAAAAAAACCTCATTCTACATGCCTATAACCACAGCACTGAGGGAGGCTGAGGCAGGAGGATGGAAGTGAGTTCGAGGCCAGTCTGAACTACACAGTAAAACCCTGCCTGAAAAACAAAAACAGGGGCTTTAGCTGGCTGCGCACACCAGCTTCGATCCCAGTACCACTCCTCCTTGTCTCTCACATGTAGACCAAGGTTGCCCACTGTTCCACCTCCAGAAGCCTGACTGTCTCATTTCTACTTCTCCCAGAATTGAAGAAGAGCTGGGAGATGAAGCTCGCTTCGCTGGACATAATTTCCGCAACCCCAGTGTGCTGTGAACCCTCTGCTCGCCCGGACACTGGGCCCTGTCCTGTCATCCTGGACCCTCCTCCTCACTGTCCCGACCTGTGATAGTCGCCCCCGTCCCATCCCGAGCTCAGGGCACCCAGAACCCCTGACTAACCTGCTCTGGCTGCTTCCTGGCAAACCCAAGCCCTGCTTTTCTGCTCTCCCTCCTCTTTGAGCCCTGTCCTCTAGGTTTCTTACTCTGTCCATTTCCCCTTTCTCTTTTCTCTTCCCTGGAAATGAGATGGAGGATTGAAAGGGGGCTGGAGGAAGAACGTCTGTCTGTGAAGGGGGCTTCAGGCTGGTTTGTTGCAGTGTTGGGAGTGGGGCCACGTGTCACTGTGCTATCCCTGTCCCATGTGTCTTCCATGTTGTGTGTGACCCATGAACCCTGTGGAATGTGCCAGGGGTGTGGTCATACCTAGCTTGGGCTTTTGAGTATTTATTTATCCATTTATTTATTTTTTTACTCATCCTGTTAATTATTCATTTCCCTATAACCCTCGGCCTAAAAGTGGCCTGACTCGAGGGGACTGCATCTGGGTTTCATGTGGCTGTAGATCCCACAGGAGCTAGGTGGGAGGTCTCACTGACTGACACAGGAGGGGTAACAGAAGACAGCCTTACCAGCAGTTATGTTTGTATTAACAGAAGCCTGGGTTGGTTCAGAGTGGGGTGTGTGCCTGGGGGACTCCTCCCCTATTTTCTCTCCCAGCCCCAGGTTCCCTGTTCCTTCTCCAGTTGCACCAGAACACCGGCTCACTCTCCTGTGCTGTGTTCCACTTGCCACAGCCACTGTGGCACTGAAATGAGCACCACCATTAAAGTCTGAACCACAGTGCATGCTTGTGTCTGAGAGGTCTTTCTCTGCCACCGGTGAGGGGAGAGAAGATGGAAGACCTGGATGGTGGTGCAGCTGGAGAGCAGAGCAGGGGGCACGGAGGAAGACCAGCTGAACGACTGCGGCCACAGTCCTGGCACTGCCCACCCCACCTGGCGACGTGGGGCCCATGCTGGCCCTGCCTTCTCCGCAGCAGGCCTGGCTCCAGGGCCCAGGGTGCCAGGCATTCTCAACCTGGAGTCCTGGATCCCCCTGAAATAGACACGATATGTACTTAGTTGGGAGAATTTGGGAGGAAAATAGTCTAAAGAGTTTCCAGATTCCCAGACGCCCTGCCAGAGTGGGTAAGGCGTTCATGGCTGGGCTTCTATCCCCAAAATCCTGGCTAGTTCTAAGGCTGAAGATCCCATGGCCATCAGCCCTTGTAGGATGGAAAGCTGGGGAGGGAAGGATGGTACCAGGGGTGTAGAGGGGGTGCTGAGACAACTGAGTCCTCCAACAAACTGAGGACTCCTCGGGACTGCAGAGCTCAGCAGGCCGGGGCCTGGATGGACGGTGGCGACACAGACCCAGCAACAAGCTGCTCTGCAGCAGGGACGGGACCACTCGGGGACAAACGGGCTCAGGGGGTCTCTGCGACCACTAGGGGGCGTCGGAGCCCTGCAGGACATCGCAGGGGAGGCCCCGCCCACACCGGGTGGGCAGCATTTCAAGGCTGTACCCTCTGGGGGCCTGCCTCTGCTTCTACAGAGTTTTGTTCTGGCTGCTGCCATGCAGCATGCTCCAGGGCTCAAAGAAGATTCCAGATGAGTATGGGCAGGGCCCACGCCTCTGCTGTTATTCCTGGGTCCCTGACGCCTGCCTCTGCCATTTTCAGTTCAGAGCTGCTTGCCGCCCTCTCCTTTCCCATGCCTCAATTTTTCCATGTAGGCATTTCCTCTCTCCCTTCTAGCACCCCTTTCCATGTCCCTTGGGGCTCACAGCACTTTCTGTGGCTCTCAGTCTTCTCTGGGGCCCATGACCTTCAACCTTCCTCAGGAACCCTCAGGCTAGCCAGGACTCTTGTAGTTGGAGCCATCTTTCTTAACTGCAGTCCATTCTGCCCTCACTCTGCTAGGTCTCCTTCTCTAACAGGTAGTGGGTTGGACTGGGTTACAGCTGGCTCTGCCTGGGCCTCCCAAGGCCCCTCTCTCCACTTTCCTTTTGTGCTGTTGCCTGGAGACCAGTGGGTTGTGGGGGACTGGGGTCTGAGAGGGAGATGGGGTGGAGGGTGGTGGTGGTGGTGGTGGTGGCTTTGGGGCAGAGTTGTGAGCCTGGCCTCAGGTAAGGGAGGAATTGGAAGGGATAGGCCCTGGCTTTTCTTCCACTTTCTCTGAGCTGCGTCCCTACTTGTGGCTGAATTTTTCTTTTAGGCTCAGATAAGGCACCATCCTGGGCCAGGTCTAATTTTTTTTTGTACCAGGGTTCGAACTTGGGCCCTTGTGATTGCGAGGCAGGCAGCAGGACCACTGAGCCAAATCCCCAGCCCTTGGGCCATGCCTTAGTGCTTAAAAAAAAAAAGGGAGAAAAGATCAGGAAAAAAAGGATTTGGGAAGGGCCAGGGCCAACAGGGACCCGGGCTCTGGGGAAGGAGGAGTCTTGGCACTAAACTAGAGGGTGGAGGAGCAGAAGGTGTACAGCCTAGAGGGAGGGAGGCAGGGGCCCAGGGGGATAGGGCCTGGTCTGAGGGGGCTCCTGGAGGGGCCAGGGAGGTGGGCACAGGGGTAACGCGAGTCCCAGCCACTTGAGGGACTTCAGCGTGGTGATTCATTCCCAGGCCCAGGGAGCATTCCTGCTCCTGTTCCTTGCTCCCCAGCGCTTTGCAATCTGTTTAGAGCGTTTCAGCACTTCCAGAGCTTGGCTGAGTCTGGCCTGAAGAACTGTGACACAAAATCTGTGTGGCCACAGAGCCAGCCTCCTTTTCCAGTAGGCAGGTGAGAGCCTGCCCGGTCAGCACCCGCCCCCTCGCTGCACCAGCCCCACAGTACCCAGCTCCCACCCCAAATCTGGAGCGATACCGAGGTTTCCCAATCCAAACTCCAGCTCCAGCTCTTCCCACTTCCCAGCCTGCTTCCCTCCCTTTCTCTGGCCTTCCCAATTTCAGCTGCCAAAAATCACCCTGTCTTTCTGGTGTCCTTTGTCCTGGGAGATGTTGCTGCTTGGTGTGAGGCCAGGGAGGGAGCCCAGAAGAGGGCACTGGTGGTGGATGGTGGGGGTGCCGGCTTCAAGGAAGAAGCCGGGGATGTCTGGCACCCCCAGCCTGCAGAGGAGTGCAGGGAAAAGCAGGGCCAGGAGGAGCCTGCTGTGGGGGGGGGGGCGGCCTCCCTGAGCCCAGGCTCCACCTGACCCCTTCCCTGTGACCTCAGATACCCATGAGTGACGACTTCAAACAGCTTTCAGGAGGAAAATGGAGGTGGCAGGAGGAGGAGGAGCCTGAGGACCACGGCCCCTCCTGTTGTAGGCCTCGGCTGCTCAGGGCCTGCACCGCATTTCGGTCACCCCTCTCACGCTCCTCTTTCTCCATCTACGACCTTCCCTCCATGTTGACACCAGTGGCCCTGTTTATCTTCCAGTTCCTTCCCTCCTTCTTTAACCCCTTCTCCCCGAGTTGTCTGCCGAAGGAAACCCCCCTCAGCC